CAAGTACTGTCTAACTTTGTATTTTGATTTTCAATCAACAGTTCTCAAGGACATCCGTAGCATTATCTATGTTTGTTAGGAATTACCATAACATAGAAAATGTGTTTAAAATCAAATATAGTTTTGATGCCATAACTTCGAATTTATCCCCATAAACATTCAATGTTGATATGCTTATGCATTATTCATGGTTTACATATATAACAGATAATACTTATGTCATGCATGTGTAGTGTAATATCATACACAAATATCAGATAACATTACAACATTCTTCAACACAACTGATGTAAAGGGGAATAAAGATAAATATTATTTTTGGGGTGAGAATTTAAAAAACCCATTTCACAGCAAGGAAACGTAAAAAACTAGGTTAAAAAACAAAATATGAGCTTTTTCATGACTATTATAACCATCTGATTATTGTGAAGGAAAGCTGTATGTAGTAAACTGTAAATCATTTGATGTTTACAACACTCAGCAGTGTCATGTACTATAGAGATTGAAATTTAATAATATGAATGTTTTATTTTTCATTTTTCATTTTTTCATGTTTGATATGTACTTGCACTATAAACCCTCACAGATGCAAAAAAGATAGATTTCATGGATTTCCACTATTTGTAACATTTTATCTATATTTAAATATCTATATATTATGATATGCAGGTGATGATTGACATAATTCGTGCGTTAATGTTTATTTTACAATTACTTGAATATAGTTTTACACTTCTCTCAGTTTTATACATGATAAATATCTGTGTTGTTGTTCAAAATCCCAATATGTACCATACCCCCATTGTCTATACTTCTATCGACTAGTCATTTGTTTACCTGAAACAAAATCGGGTACCTAAAAAGTTAAAAAGTCAAAATAGAGAATTGCAACAGACAATATTTTTGTCACTCATGCGACAGAAATGTCCATCTGTTTCGCCTCAAGGAACGCACGGCATCATAACTCGTCGTGTTAATGTAGTTAACATATTCAAGTGATTTATAAACATATGCTCAGGATATAGTCAGAATCGTAGTCGTACAATGGGCTTCGCCTTCAGCGGGTATTCATTTTGATGATAGAAATGGTTTCGTAGTTATAACTATTTACCCAATTAGTGCGCATGGGATGTCTGCTTCCTGCCACACAAGTAGCGAAGTTACCATGAGGACATTTGACTAAGAAAGTGTAATCCCAAATATAACATATGTTGTACCGTGAGGACGTCCAGCATTTCAAATAATGTTATGCGAGGAAGCTTTCAAAATACAATTTTTTTCAAATTGCAAAGACTTGAATGTTAAATTGGATACATTAGACACATGTGGTTTTAAACAAAGATTGTTTAAAATGTGGCTCTGCTTTATATTTTTTCTAGCTTTAATATATGCCATTGAAAACAGAATGTTAAATTTTGTTAATGCATTGACCCAAACCGATCACATAATGGTCAGGTTTAGTGATAAGCGTATTTCTTGCCATTTAACTAAATTAATGTAATTAACTCTGGTAAGATCTTTTCTCATTTTGCGTTCATAAAACAACATTTGCTCAATCGTATATACAAAACTCTCATTTGCCTGTCATCATAATGAGAAATATACTACCCTTCAGAAGATTAGAGTCACTTAAAGCACTCACTATGTGTTATGTATAACATTTATGGTTACATCGAAGATGAATCTCTTCACTAACTTGGGGGAACCAACTGAAAACCTTATGCAGATGAAGTGCACGAGGATCATGCATGAAATTGCTGAAAAGCATGTGCAGATATCATGCATGTGAACAGCTGCGTTTTGGTGTAAAGTTTTATTACGAATTCGTCATATTTCACTGAGGTTCATCATTTATTGAACTCATGACAATAATCTTTTCAGCGTTACAAACGTGTTTTACAGTACATCAGTTCACGTGTAAACAATATGGAAAGTTTTGCAAAATTTATGTTAGAACAGTTGACTTAAGTAAATGGCTACATTTACACTAGTGAGTCTAAACTTTTGATGGGGAGTATATTTACCGCCTTGTGATAAGCACTGACTGTTAGTGGCAATGCAGTGGAACTTACCTTTGTATACACGGGCCTTTGAGGAAACAGACACAGCATACGGAAATTGCAACCAGGCCGAAAAGGATTGCTGCACCCACAACCCATATCAGGGTGGCTGAACTCATATGAGGCATCTCCGGCAGAGCTGACAAAAAAAACAAAAAACATACACATGAACACTAATCTAGGGATCATTTCATACCATTCATTAATTAATAACAGATACGTTAATAACCCTTCCGTGGTCTACATAGATACCCACGGATATCGTGAAGAGTAACCCGTCGTGATGAGCTCTGCATAACGCTAATGGTTATATCCCGTGTTGACCCGGCTTAGAATATGTCCACAGCAATCCATTCATGGTCGTAAAAGAGACAAAATAGGGCAGCTTAAATACCTCAATAACATGTCATTTACCAAATGAAAAAACGTGTAAACCTTTTGTTTCAACACACATCATGCTTAATTCGCTTGTTGATCAAGAACATGTGAAATGTACACTAAGTATTTATATGAAGACATTATTTCTGTAATATCCTTCTGGAATTTCCTAAACACAATAACATTGATTTTATCAATACTAATTTTCAATAGCCACTTTTCACAATAATGTTATATTTTATTAATTCGTTTTTGCAAACCATTCTTTGCACTATCTAACATGAAAATGTCGTCAGCAAACATTAATGTGAATAAAAAATCAAGTAAATCAATGTCAATACAACGTTGGTACAAGATACTGTTTCTACTGTAAAATGATGTAAATGTAATTGAAGATGAATACCATTTCGTTTTAATTTGCCCAAAACATACAGTACATCGAAAACAGCTGATTAAACCGTGATTTTGGAAGAAACCAAGTATGTTGAAATTTTTTGAATTATTAACAAACCCATCTAAAGATAGTATTGCAAAAGTATGTAAATACATAAAGTTATGCATGTAAGTACCGAAATGTTTTGTCCAGCTTCCATTTGTAAATGTAAAACATTATGCATATTTCAATGGATAACCATATTCTATCATGTATACAGTGTAAAATGATGACGAGGGGCATATAGCCCAAGTCTTTACTGAATAAAAATTCGAATCGAATCGGTAATCAGCAGATAAAACCTGGACAATATTGTTATCAAGGCAAACAAAAGCGGCAATAACTGACATCCATTTCGGACACTTAACTTGCAACAGTATTGCCAGCTTGTAGCTAGAGATAGCTAAATGTTTTAACATTTTTATGTGTAATTTGTAGTAATCTGATGGTTCTTTTCTTAACATTTAGGGTAAAGCATACGATTTTTAACACAGATTCAAAAGCCAGTTTCAAATCTACAAATACGCATTTTCAACTACCTTTATGTAGAGATACTTAGAAATATGAGGTTTTCCATATAAATCCAATGTATGTACACTTAATTCATTCCTAATGTATGACTTTTTGTCTTCACGATATAGCTGAAATATTGCTGATGTCACATAAACGTCGCAGTCTAACCTTACGAAGACTGACCATCGATCTGTCTATGACCAGCTGCTAAAACTTATCACTTTAGCTGATTTAAATGGGCACACCCCACTCTGTGTTTACTCGCACTAAATGTGAAATACTTCAGAAGGTCTTTTCAGGTACTGATAGATGCATATGTACCGGAGTTTCAAACGCATATTTACATCCTGGTACAAAAACACATTAAGCTCTTGATTAATAAATTATTGAATCTGAATGGTCAATCCATGATGACCTTTGTGGAAGTGACCATTTTCCTACAATATGAACACCGATGAAGCGATTTTATGTTTCTCCATCATCAAGATGTAATTCTTAAAAGGATAACTGAGTTTCATATCATTATAGGATATTTATGTAGCGCACATATCCATGTATCTAGTACATGCTCAAGGCGCTGGCATTTTTCTGCCCTCGATCACTGGATGTCAATCTCAACTGCCCGGGAATCATACAACTCTTGCAGCCACTAGGTTCACCGAGTTGTTGTGACTTTCTCATCCTAACCAGTATCCATTTACAGCTGGGTGAACTAGTCATATAGACACATAGTCACGGTTCAGGTTCACTGCACGTTGCTGTACCCGCAAATAGGTGTTTGCAGATATTCAGGTGGCCACCATCTGGTCATATACCAAAGGATTTGTGGGTTCTTTTAAGTGCACAGGGTTGTTACATCACTGAAAGAGTCTGCACAGTCCATGCAGGTAGCAAAGGTGCTGTAAGTTCCCATGGTCCCTGGTATGGTGATCTACCTCAGTTGTTGGTGACCTATAGCCTATCTTTATATTGCGTGTCCTCTATAGTCAAAATGATTTAGATTTAATTACTAGTTTTGCATTTATATCTGTGATGTTCTGGTTGTTTTACTGTCCTTCGTTGACAGGACTATCTTTACGCATTGCTAATCTATAACTTGTTTAAGTCACGATATGGCTGAAAAATTGCCAAAGTGACTTTAAATTTTTCACTTACTCACTCACCGCACCCGGTCTCCAGTGGGCTCGATAGTTGTGTACAACGTCACCCTGGCGCCTTTTTCAAGATGGCGGCGCCCATAGGGCGCGGCCATCTTGGATCCTGTCACTTCCGGTCAGGGGGAGATCACTCGGGTTCCGGTTCCGGTGGACGCGCACGCATGGCGATGACGTCACGACCGGTTCCGGTGGGTGCGCGCGCATGACGATGACGTCATCTCCGGGCCAAGATGGCGGACGCGTTTCAAGAGGGCGGGCCCATCCGGTGGGATCGCGTGAGATCTCGCGGGATCGCGTGGAGTCTCGCGGGATCTCGCGAGCGTAGACGCCTTTCAAGATGGCGGAACGGACGAGCGGCGGACGGGACGGGACGGGACGGAGAGGGAAGGAGAGGGAGAGGAAAGGAGAGAGGGAGGGAGGGAGAGGGGTGAGGCGGACACGATGGCGTGGCTAGACAAGTGTGTGTGTGTGTGTGGTTAAAAAACATTGTATATAGCATTCTTTCGAGACAGGTGGGTGGCCCTGAAAAGGGCCGTTGGTATGGGTGGGTGAGAGATCACCGAGGTATCTAGGGTGGTGATGGTGGTGCACTGGAGGCCGTGCTGCTGGAATCATCCATGGGTTCCACAAACTCCAAGATACGTTGAAGTACAGAGTACATGGTGTCTATGCGCTCTTGAACGAGAAGGACCTTGTCATGGAGTAGAGCCAGTAGATGTTGGCTTTCAAGTTTACTCACTTTCTTTGGCGGTTCACTTGGCTGGTGGGTGGATGCTGGACGTTTCTGGGTCTTGTTAGAGCAGTTCATGCTCTTATGGTCCTCTTGACCACAGTGGCGACAGGGATGTGGACAGTCGTAACTGAGATGACCTTCGTTTTTTCCACAGTTGTAGCAGGTGTTGTTATCGTGCCTGCTGTTGTCCTTGGTCTTCTTGGGACATACGTAATGGCGATGACCTTGAGCACCACACTCGGTACAGGACACCTTGGGGCAGTGTAGATAACTGTGGTCATCTGTTTCACACAGCCGGCAACGGAAGGAGGCGGAGGCGGGAGACGTCTGCATGCTTCCAGTTTCAGTGAGCAACTGATGAGGAGAGCTGGAAAACCTCGAGTTTATATAGCTGGGTTGATGACGTCACTTTGACGCCTCTGGTTCGCACCGGTTGCATCCGGTTCGCACCACTCTCTCATCCTGATGTCATGGGGTATGACATCATTCCTATAAATAACACATGAGCTCATGGTGCGCACTAGCACGGCCTATTGTGACGTCATAGGGTGACGTGACCTATATAAACCAGGCTCAGCGTGGGTCTGACCAGTTCTCACCATGCCGTCACCACGAATGAACGAAGCAGAGAAGGAAGAAGAACTTGAAGAGGAGCCTGTGCCGTACCAGTTGGAGCGGACAGCCCAAAAAACAGCCAAGAAATTCCGGACTGATACTCAGCGCTACCACCTGACGTTCAATCCAGCTTGGCTGCAGAGGCAACAGCCTGAAGACCTTCCCCGTCGTGCTCAGAGAACAGTTTGATGCCGTGTTAGCAGATTTGAGAGACGATGTGGGCGGACAGGATGGTGATCGTGTGGGACTGGCCCTGGAACACCCCGCCCTGGATTCAGACATTCGAATCACGTTTCGGCGGATGGGTGACCTCCAGGGGGGAACACATCATGGCCGAAGTGGAAAAAGTACAACAAAGCAACCACGACTTACATATCGATGACACCATGGACATTTTCTTACTGCATGTAGAGGATCCTGATCGTATCGGTGAGGGACACGGACGGCCCAGACACCTTATTGGCTTAAACGCCTTCCTAGAAAAGAAACAATGCATCGTTCAAATCAAGAATGAGGATCAGCTCTGCTTTGCCCGTGCCCTGGTCGTGGCCAGTCACCACGAACACCAACCCGATCCTGTGACCAAAGAATGGACCAAGCAATGGAAATACCTGTGTGACCATCGTAAACCAGCGCAGCTGAAAGCCGCCAAGGCCTTGTTTCGGCAACTCAAGATCCCCCGAAGGTCCTTGTACAGGGCGTGCCACGTGGGAGTTGTTCAGTCAACGTTTGGCCCCTTACTATCAGCTCAAAGTCTACTCCCAAGATGTGATGAATCGACTCCTGTACAAGAGTGAAGTGGCTCAACCCACCAAGATCCTTCACCTGTATCATCACCATCAGCATTATGATATCATTACATCCATGACTGCCTTTACAGGGTATCCCTACTATTGTGAAACGTGTGACCAAGGATACGCCCACGCTGAAGATCATCGCTGCACCCGAGACTTTCGATGTTACTGGTGCCAATGTCTTGGATACTGTGGCGACGTGGTCAGGGGAGGGCTCTCCTGTCTCCAATGTGGCGGATGGTTCCGAAACCCGACCTGCTTTGAACGGCATCGGATGGCCTCCGCCAAGCATCCCAGCACTTGTTCCACCATCCACACGTGTCATCGATGTCTGGCCAAAGTCAACGTGAGGAAAATTCAGGGCATGGCCTACCACCAGTGTGGCACGAATGGGGACTGCAAGATTTGCAAAGAACCCTTGAAACCCAACCACCAGTGTTACATGTCCGTCATCGAACCACCCGAAACTAAATGAAGACGGTGAAAAAATGGATGAAGACAAAGAACGGCAACAACGTCAGTTCATCTTCTATGACTTTGAATGTACTCAAGATCAAGGGACTCATGTTCCCAACTTGTGCGTGGTGCATCTAGGATGTGGAAAATGTATTTCCGAGGCCTCGGATCAACTGTGTGACAAGTGCCCCTGGCGTAAGGAAGGAGAAGGGCCGAGTCGCATCAAAGTGTTTCGGGGATCGACGACCTTGAAGGACATGGGCGACTGGCTGATGCGTCTGGCGGAAAAGAAAGAGAAGCAGAAGAAGAAACGTAAGGCATCCCAGCAGCAGCCGTCAGGCGTTACCTCGAAACAACCCAAACGGTCATCACCAGAACCCGATGATGATGTAGAAGAAGAACAAACTGATCGACAAAGAACAAGGCGGCCGAAGGCGACATTTCTTCCTACCCTCGATGATGGCGACGGTTGGTCATTGCTCACAACTACCGTGGGTATGATGGACACTTGCTCAGCAGTACTTTCATCAACATCTCGTGAAAGCACCCCAGGTCACACTTCGAGGGAATCACATCTTGCAGATGACCGTGGGACGCCTTGTTTTCAGGATTCACCAACTTCCTCCATACGATGGCTCTGAAGCAGTTTCCAAAACGTTTGCCTTGGCGGAACTCAAGAAAGGCTACTTCCTCACTTCTTCAACACCGAAGCTCACCAAGGCTATGTGGGTCCATATCCTCCCGTGTCTACTTACGATCCCACAGCATGTTTCCTGCTGAACGTAAAGCTTTCTTGGCCTGAGTAACGATGCATGGGTGGCTGAAGGGACTATCTTTGATCTGGATGAAGAATTGTTAACTTACTGTCAGAGTGATGTGGACATTTTTCGCGTCGAGGCTGTGCTGCATTCCGCAACATATTCATCCAACAGAACAACGTGGACCCTTTCTATGAAGCGGTGACTCTACCCATGGCTTGCATGCTCACCTTCGAAAACAGTTTTGGAACCCGCACCATCGCCATCCTACCTACTCAGAGGTTATCGTCCCCAGCGTCGCTACTCGCTTCAGTGTCTCCACTGGCTCAACTGGGTCATGCATCAACACCTGGGGTTCACATCCAACATGCTCGGAATGGTGGAGAAGTAGGCTTTGACTGTGCTGACGGAAGTGGTTACATGGCAGATGGCTACTGACGCCAAGACACGCGCTTACCGTGTACCTAATACTTGGGCTGTTTCTGGCATGGATGTACTGCCAGCTGTTACAAGACGGACCGATGTGAACGCCATACTAGCTTGGGTACCACCCCTTGGGAACGATACCATCATACCATGTACCGACTGGCTGTGTTACGTCAACATCCCCGACATCGACCAAGTGGTGACCCTCTGGGAATGCGATTTTCTGAAACAACAGAAGAGACAACGCGGTGACCTGAGAGCCTTCCTGACCACCCTGCAAGGACCCCATGCCTACATGCCTGATCCGTTGAATCCTAGAGATGCTTTCTTTGGAGGTCGTACCAACGCCACCAAACTGTACTACTGAAGCCAAAGAAGATGAAGAAATCAAATATGTGGACGTTTGCTCGCTGTAATGCCCTTACATCTGCAAGTATGGTACTTTTCCGTGGGACATCCCGAGATCAAAGATCATCCTCCCGTGTCTGACTTGTTTGAGCTCCACGGCCTGATCCAGTGCCGAGTCTTGCCACCCACCGACCTCTATCATCCTGTTCCTTACAGAAGTGTCCAGGCAAACTGCTCTTCCACAGCTGTGCGTGCGTGTGCTGAAGAGCAGTTGGATATCCCTGCCCCCACGGGGATGAAGACCGGGCATGGATCGGTACCTACGTCAGCAAGGAGCTTCAGTTTGCTGTTGAAAAGTGTGGCTATCAGGTGCTTCACATCTTTGAGGCTTGGCACTTTGACACGCTCGCCACCTACGACCCTGACACTCAAGAGGGAGGACTGTTTTGCCAAGTATGTCAACAATTTCTTCAAAATCAAGCAAGAGGCCAGTGGCTACCCCGAAGGCTGCCCAGACCCAAACGCCTACATCCACGAGATACAACAGAAAGAGGGAGTCACCTTGGATCCTGCTCGCATTCGCAAAAACCCAGGACTACGTGCGCCTTTAGCCAAGGCCTGTCTGAACAACCACTGGGGCAAGTTTGGTCAACGCGTTGGGTTTGCCAAGACGGAATATATCAGTTCCCCTGAGAGGTACTTTGCCCTCCTCCGGGATGAGCGCCGTGTGGTGAAAGACATTAACATCATCAATGAAGACCTCATCTGTGTCACTCCACGAACCTCAGACAGACTTTCACGACCCTCATCCAGCCCACAATGTGGCCATTGCAGCCTGGGTGAAAGCACAAGCCCGTCTCAAGTTGTATTCTTATTTTTGCAACCGTTGGATCGTCGTGTCCTCTATTTTGATAATGGACAGTATCATCTACATTCACCGTCCACGAAGTTACAACCCGCCACTGGGAGATACCTTGGGGAGCTGACTGATGAACTGGGAGGGGCAACAGCATTCAAACCTTTGTCTCGGCAGGACCCAAGAATTATGGCTACAAGCTGCGCCATCCTCAATCTGACGGCAGTGTGGGCATCAGCAAGGTCCGAGGATTTACTTTAAATCACAGGGCGAGCCAACATGTCCACTTTGACAGCATGAAGAACCTCGTCTGTCAGAGGGATCAACCCAACATCACGTCCCGTATCCACACCGCATCATTAAGTGGAGGACTTCGCCAGGGCAACGTGTTGCTGTCCAAGGACACCACCAAAACCTATCGCTTGGTCTACACCAAACGCCGAGTGCAGTACGACCCCCAAGGTGTCCCCAGGGAAACTCTCCCCTATGGCTACAAAGAGTGAACACATCCCTCCCATGGACTTTTGTTGCAGACATGCTCTGATCTATGGATGTTTAACCCATAAACTGTGATTGCCTTGTTCATTTGTTGTTGTTCTATCATTCAATAAATTGTGATTGTATGGTACTCTTGTGTTATGTCGTCTCTCTCTTCAGGGCCAGACCTGGTGGAGTCCATGGTCACCCTCAACCCTGTTGTACCCTGTTCTTAGACTCAGACCTGGTGGAGGCCATGGTCACGTTTACCATGGCATAGGTACTGTCACAAAACAAAAGGGAAGAGAAGGGAGAGCAGAGTGGCGCAGTGGAAGCGTGCTGGGCTCATAACCCAGAGGCCCGTGGATCGAAACCACGCTCTGCTCATTTCTTTTCTTTCTA